GGGATGAACCTGGTCTCAGGCATGCCTGCTATTCAAACACCAACTGAGCTACATCCCCAGACCAAGGCTGATACTTTGTAAAACAGAAACAAATACAATTCAACATCAGTTCTGGCTCGGTTTGGTTTTGTTTTTGACAGAGTATCACTATGTAGTTCAGGCTAGCCCTGAACTCATAAAGATCAGACCAACTTCCTGAGTGCTGGTTTTAAATCTGTGCACCAGCACATCAGGTTTTAAGCTCCGCCCTTTGCCATATTTTTTTTTTTTTTTTGTATCTTCTTTTCCTTTGCCCTGGTCTTCACAGCTCTGGTTTATAGTAAGCATATCTAGCTCTGGTTTCTGCATTCCACAGCAAACCAACACGGGCTGCTCCAACTGACAAGGACTCTGCCAGCCTGCATCGGTCATGGCATTGTGTTTCTACGGAGACACAAAGTCAGGACTGGTTCTTGAGGAATTTCCATAAACTGGCATGATGGCCTTCCTCCCTGACTGCACTGTAGTACTTCAAGCCAAGCTCCTCCCCCCCCCTTCCCCGCAGCATCAAGTGATGGCCACTTAATAATCTCTAGACATCCCAGTAGAAGTCCCAGATGGAATTAGGACGGGAGGTGGCAAACTTTGATGGATTTCCCTCATGGCAAATGTGCGGAACTCAGAGTAATTTGAGACTCTCATTAACTATTTTTCAGTGATGGGCATAAATGACCATTTCCTCCATTCATGCCCAAGTCTTAGGAATACCAAGTGGGAATAATCATCAAGGGGAGAATTCCTAAAGTTTATACAAACGCTTTTTCCCCATGACCCCTTTGTGTGAAGAGGATGGCTAGGAACCTGATCCGGACAGCAGGTCAGTCCCCAGATAAGTGGGATGAACCCAGCACAGAATGCTCACCCAGCTGAGACCGGGCACAGCCTGACCTCTAAGCTGCCCGGCTGATCAGTCACTTCAGCTTTTCCCCTCCCACCCCAGCAACCTTTCTCTTTTAATGGAAGCTGGGGTCCTGTGATAGACTGGAGAAAATGAGAAAAGTTCAGGGTGGGACCCGTTTGGCAGGAGCACACAATCCAGTCTCGACCTCAGAGGTCAGGCTGCAGAATCCTCTCAAAGTCATTCTCAGGGACGTGAATTCTTAGGCGGTCCTTCATCATTGTCTGTCACTCCATCGACTCACTCTTAAACAGTAGCCCCGGTGAAATTTCTGAGCTGCTGGAATGTTCTTCGAAATGATATGTTCTGGTTGAAAGAAGCACAGGAAGGAAATATCTTCACCAGATCCTTTTCTACGGAGCGCTGACGGTCTTGGCAGGCATCATCTTGCCGACACCCAAAGAGATTTGCTTACAAAGGTATTGGAGGCTGATCCAGTCTCCCGAGATACAGCTGGGACCTGATGTTTGCAGAGGGACGAGGGTCTATCTGAAGGTCTGTAATTTACCTGTCTGATACCAAGCCTAGTGTTCCATCCAAACCTCCAGGGCAGCTCAGAGATGGGGGCCCGACCTGGGGGTTTGGGGCAGCTATCTGCCCTCTTTTTAGAGCCTTGTAGTCATTTCCTCGCTAGTGCAAGGGAAGGTTTTGTACAGTTATAAAAAGAAGGCCAGAAGAGAACACGCTCCTCTTAGTTCCTAATATATTATGTCCTCCCCTGCCGAGCCCGGGGACTTAGTCTGGATTTGGTAACTAAAGTAATATAAATGTTAGCTAAGAAGCATTCCCTCAATGTGGTTCCAATTTAGGCTTGTTTTGAAGTCTAAAGGCCCAATATGTCTCGTAGATTCTTCGCTGGACATTAGCGTTAATGTAATTTGCGGAGGAGAGCAGGCCGGTGGAGAAGGGCGGTCCTGGCCCTCTGTGGATGGGATCGGGCTCTTTTCCAGGGCCAGGGGATGCCTGAGCTTGCCAGAAGTTCCCCCAACAGCCTTAGATGTCTGGGGGTTCACTCTAAAAATTGACCTACACTTGCGGGGATGATGGGAGAAGAAGCAACTGGGTACGGTACCCTTTTCCCAGGGTCCTTGTCCGGGCTCTGCAAAGGGCTGTGCAAGCTGAAGGCAGCCTCCCTCTGCAAGCTGTTTGCACTTGAGTAACTTCTCTCTCCTAGCCTCACGCATGCCTTTTCAGAGTCGGGCTAGGCACCCCCTTGCGGGGCCCACTAGGGCCCGCAGCCCAACTCACACCCCTCCGAACCCCCCCCCCCATTCCCCGTAATGAGCATCCCCCCCTGGAACTGCCTGCCCTTTATCTTGCTGGGGGGACCCGCACCTTTTGAACTACCATCTGTAGATTGTGTTGGTGCACTGACTTGTTAACTGTGCCTTGCTGTGAAGGAAATGGCATGATTTAGATCAAGTACTCAGGACGGCTGTTCATAAGAAACACTTGAGCCAAGCTGTTGCTGCTCGGAGCGTGCCCTGGGGAGACGGGTTCCGTTTTGGGTCACGGTCCTGCCTTGTATGAGGGCAGGCGCAATCCCGGGCTTGGGTGGGGGTGCGGGGGGGGGGGGGGGGGGGGGGGGGGGGGGGGGGGGGGGGGGGGGGGGGGGGGGGGGGGGGGCTGGGGTGGAGAGAGGCATTCTGAAACCATGAGGCTGCCAAATTAACTTCTCACCCTTTCAAACACACTCCAGAGGATAAAGCAGAACACGTCTGCCTCAGAAACGGGCTCGACTTACACCAAACACGTTCTTTCTCTAATTTATCAACCCAGTTAGCCAGCCTTCTGATTATGGGAAATCTCTGCTGTTTATGAAGCCCCCTTCAGAAGGGGCACCATGACCAACCAGTCAGGAAACGGGTCGTGGAGAGCTTTGAGAACTGGGACTTCTCCGTAAGAAAAAAAAAGTAAACAAAGTAAATAAATAAATAAACCGCTTCTGCCTCAGACGGGCAACATTTCAAAATGGAGGGACCACAGCAGGTAAGCACAGATCATTAAGTCCGCCCAAACGGCAAGTATCCGTACGTAAAATCTAATTAGGAGGACGAAGGTGAGGCCGAGCCAGAGTTATAAAATGGGAGCCCTCAGCTTCATTCATCACCTCTCGAGCTAATTCCACGGACACCCATTTGTCCATTATATGGAAATAGATGATTAGGGTCATTCTCTAAGACAAATTCACTTTTCTGCACACTCTAAATCTGTTTAGTCAGTTTAAAGGTGTCAATTATTGGAACAGGCTAAGACTATGAATTTCTTAGTAATAGCTTTAATAACGTTTTGAAATGAAAAGCAGATACCTTGAAATCAGCCTGCTTTGAAAAGGCCTACGAGGCGCTCTGGTTCTAATTTGTGCAACGTTCTACATCTGGAATCCCTTATAATTAAAACTAAAAACCGAACTACTACTTCCACCTGTCAAATGATGAAAAGATGAATGCACTAATAAGTTACTAAATAGCCCAACCTGATCGAGTTTACATTGGAGCGCTCTACAGTAAAACAGAACTCTGGACAGGAGGCTAAAGGTCTCGGTCATTACTAATAACGCTCTCCGCATTAGCCTGCGTGGCCCGCTGCAACTACCAGCGGGTCTCTTAACGTCAGGGTGGATTGTTGGGAAGTCTTTGTTTTAGAGGAAATATGAACTTCAGACAAGAATATTTAAAACACATAAACGGACCCAGCTTTTCTTCCCCAACTTTGTTTTCAGCACTTTGGCAACTCTGGGTCAGGGTCTCTTACAGAGATCGCAGGCAGCTGCTAAATTCGGATTGCGCGAATGTCTACCACACACCCACAGCAAGAAAGGCCTCGTGCCAGCCCTGGGGGTGTGACACTGAGCAAAAATGTACCTTTCGTTGTAGGTAACCCGGAAATGGGAAAAGCTGCAGTGAGTTCTTTCTTCAGAATGAGGAAACCAGAGCACTTTGCCGTGGAGGGAGAGCGGTCTGCGCTCTCTGGCTGTCACTGCGGCTGAAGCAGCAACGCTCATTAAAGTGTCCTTGCACTGTCTCTGGTGTTCAGAAGGTTAATTATTTTAAAAGGTAAATCCTGAGTTGTAATCCCTATTGAAACTGCTTGCAGCTACTCCCCTGCCAAGGTCGAGCTGTGTGGGCAGGCCCCCAAGGGCTCATTTTTCTTATTACACAAGTCGAGCTTTCCTGTCATGAAGTAAAAAAAAAAAAAAAAAAAGGAAATATCATATTTTGAAAAAAGCATCAGTTCTGGAGAAAAAAATATGAAGAGTTTTGTTGGTGATTGAAGGGTCTTTCCACCGGTTGGCCACTGGCTGGGACAGGGATGTCCTAACTGTCGGAGAGACCATGACTGCCAGTAGCACCTGAGTACCCTGGACACAGTAGTGTGATCATAGTGAGCCAAGCTCTCCCTGGGGGAAAGTTGAACCCACCAAAAGAATTCCAATCTGGCTTAACCTTTTGAGACTACCAGAGATCCCCACTAAATTCCTATTTTCAATACTCTTAAGTACAGGGGATATTTGTATACTTTCCCCTTGACGCTTTACTTGACTGCCACCCACCTGTTCTAAAACCTAAGTCCAAACTGGCAGCCTAAACTCTCAATCTGGCCTGAAGGCACTTCAGCTGGCCAGCATGTGGGGTTATAACCGCACCGTTTCCAGTATCCGAAAGGTGGAGACAACCCAACCGGTGGGTGAATGAACCAAATGTGGATGCTACTCAGGCTGGGGGAGCTTGTTATACATAATCATCTCAACACAGTTGAAGCCCCAGATGGTACAGAGAAACCCGGCAGGGACACAAAAGCTGAGCCCGTGGAGTCTGGTGCATCTCCATGGCCCCTCCACCGCATGGAAGCAGAAGACCAAAGATTCCTGCTGTGCAGTCCACCCTGGTCCAGCCCTCTGGGAACTCTCTGATCAGTGATCAGGACACTCACAGGCGTCCTGCCAGGCAGCTAGTGGGTCCCAAGAGCATGGAGATCAAGGCTCGATATGTTGGGAAGGTCCCTCTGGACAGCCAGGTTCCAAACTACAGCAGAAGATTCACTTGATCCCAAATCTTCTTACCTGCCAGGCAGAAGGCCATGAATAAGGGATCCATCCTGGAAGATATGAAACTGAGAGAAATAAAAGTGAGCTCTTGAGTCAGGACCACGGAGGTCTTCACTATAAATGTGTATCAGCAACAAACACACCTAAAATGCGGCCTTGCTGCAGGCGAAGGCAGGAGGACCAAGGCGACCCCTGCAGGCAGGCTGAAGCAACACAAGACAGTTTGGGAAATGAAGCTTGCTCCAGGTTTCTCCAAGAGCCCGCAGAAGCTATCCTGGTCTGGCACGGGTCAGATGCTGAGAAGAAAAGTGAGACTCACCTTTAAGCCACAGCAAGGCCAGCCATTGTTGGGCCCTGAAAAGGAAATTGTCCGTGAGATCCAAACAAAACTTGCCCAATGGACTTGGAGCGGGACATGAGGACTGCCAGGTGTTGAGCCCCACAGAAGGCTCTGTTCCTGTGTGTACTGGCTTCCAGCTCGGTATGCGCGTGGACTCGAAAACATTGTGCGAGGCAATGGCGATGTTTTAAAAAGCGGTTTCACCTCTGGGCGAGGAGGCCAAGCCAAAGTCAAGGACTCTCCTGGGAGAGGACAGACAATGGCTCTAGATGCCAGCACTCTAGGTCTTTGTTTATAAAAAATTAAAACTAATACATAAGTAAATAAAATCTCTATCCAATCTACAGCACTGTGCTGACTGAAGCCAGAGGTGACCCACTTTCACACTTTCGCCATCAGTTAAAAGCTGAATTAAAATCATGGGTTTGCTTCCGTTCAGTTAACTTCTTACCACAGATTAAACAGGTATAGGTGTATGTGTGTGCATGTGAGACTGTGTGTGTGTGCATGTGTGTGTGCATGCATGTGAGTCTGTGTGTGTATGCGTGTGTGTGCATGAGTCTGTGTGCATGCATGTGTGTGCATGAGTCTGTGTGTATGCATGTGTGTGCATGTGAGTCTGTGTGTATGCATGTGTGTATGTGCATGCATGTGAGTCTGTGTGTGTGTGTGCATGTGAGTCTTTGTGTGTATGTGCATGTGAGTCTTTGTGTGTGTGTGTGTGAGAGACACTTGTGTAGAGTTTAGAGGACAACCAGAAGGAGCAGGTTCTCCTCTTCCAACACCTGGGACCTAGAGATCAAACTCAGGTCATCAGACACAGTGGCAAGCACAGATACCCTCTGAGCAACATCAGGTCAGGGTCACAGAAATCAGTACATCAAATTAAAATTTAAAAAAAAATATCAGCAAGAAAATTCTACCTCAAGGCATAAGATGGGACAGAACTTTAAGGACATTATTCTGAATGAAGTGAGCCAGTCACAAAAGATGGATGCTGAGATTCTACAGCACAAGGTGGAATAAAATCCGTAGAGATGGAGAATGGAATGGGGGCAGGCAGGAGCTGAGAGGAGAGAGAGCAGAGGGCTGGTGAGTAGTGGGCGCGGAGTTTCTATTTGCACCCTGCCAATGTGAGTATGCTTGATGACGTCACTCATGGAACTGGCTACCTACAAATGGTTAAAGTGGCCAATTTTGCTACATAGATTGTGCTACAAGAAAGATCAAATTATTTTACGCTAAAATAAAAGTCTTCGCTTTTCAGGAAACAAAGAATCTAAGCAACCCTAGCACTGTCCCCAATGTTCCCAAAACTTGATACTCGGCCCTGGCTCGTCAAGCATGCTCTTCAGTCACAGCCTCCATCCATTCCTCCTTCTGGCCTCTGCCCATCCCCCTTCACGCTGCCCGGCCGGCCGGCTCCTGTGGCATTCCCGCTCAGAGACCCTGTGGAGAACTCTCACTATGCACAGCTTCCACAGCTATGGCCACACTCCCCACAGTCAAGCCAGCCTATCCTAGGTCCAGATGAGCTGAGGAGGAGGGGTGAGATGGCAGTGCGGGAAGACAGACAGCAGGAAAGCCCTTCTCACAGGCCATCACAATGCCCACCACCTCCCAGCCAGGAGAAGGGATGTACACCACATCCCAGAGACCTCCCATGCTGCTCTTTCTTGTCAATGGTACCAGCATGGGTACATGATTCGAAGGCACTAGAAGCACCCTTGAGAGAGTGCAGTGTCTTTGCATTCATTTCCCTCGATACTGACTTCACACGAATACATTACTGGTTTTGTTACTTTGGAGTCAGGGAGTAATGACTTCAAGAGTCGTTATTGAAACTTGGATTATCCCCAAACTGTGAATTTTATTTTAAGCCACTAAGGTTATTTTTCCCCTCTAAAATGCTACTGTCAAGTGATCATTTAAAAACATTTATCAATAACCAAGGACTACAAACTTTAATCTGTACACTTTACACAGAGTAAAGCCTGGCCCGGCACTGAAGCATAGATGATGTGTTGGTTTAATCTATTTTTCACAGCGGGGTGTCTGAGAGTAGGGAAATTAAAAACAGGTCAAATGGACTATTGTGACTGTTCTGCGGTGTGCTTTTTTACATGAGGTCTGGATTACGATAACATCTGGTCCATATTTCTTGAACTATTTCCCTTTTATCACAAGAAAACTCGGCAACCCATCTCGCGACTGCTCTTAATTTGGCTCTAAATATCGCTGATGAAACGTTGTACAACATGCTGTTGTCTATTACCATGATTTCCCTCAAGGAACAGTTGATACTTTTATGTATCCCAGCACAGCTAATCAGGCCAGGCCCCCTTAGTAGGACTTACCTTGCAATCCTACGTCCAAAGCCCCCACCTAAATCCCTCTTGGTGTGCTAAATGAGTCTTATTCTGAGGAGGACTTCAGTACATCATCAGGTCTCAGAGTCAAAGAACCGTCCAGAATCCCTTAGAAGGACAGACACTTCACGCCAGCGCCAACAAGCCACTGTTCTTGACACTGCTACCATTCAGCCTCTAGAAGGGGAACCAGTAAGTTCTCTCCTGTACTTTTCAGGGTTCAAGCCTCAGACAGTGCAATATACTGACGTATGATGCAATCTCCTGAGGTTTTTATTTATTTCTAAGAAATTGTGGGACTCGGAACAATTAACTCATTTCTACAACCTGAGCTTCATCCCTGCTCACCGCACACAGACATCATGTACACACACATGCATAGACACCAAAAGAGACACTCAAAAAATTTAATATATATACACACAAGTATGTGCATATGTACATACACACATACACACACACACACACCAACATGTATGAAGAAGCCAGACAGAATTCACAGCAAACTAGTGGCTGACAATTAGGGTAAGGGAGAAATCACCTATGGATCTTCTAGCTTTGAATATGCATATATTTCTTTGATTTTTTAAAGTAAAAATGCATTGAAGAAACAAAGCAGATAGAACTGAGATGAGGGGGCACTGCCCTTGAGGACTAAGTGGTAAGAACGGGGTGGGGGTGGATCACAAGACAGGGTGAGTGCCTGCAGTGAAGGGCAGAAGGCAAGAGGTTGCCAGGCATCCTGTCATCTTGCATTTTTCGGAGGGAATTCTGAGAATAAAAAGCCTTTGGGAGTTATCAGCGGTCAGGCTGGAGCCATTCAGTTTCCACCTGCCTGTGTTTGCTGTCTGGCAGCCAGTCAAGGGTGCTCTTAGCAGAATTAAGATCCAGGCGAAAAGATTATCCCAGAGAAGGCAAGATAAGGGGCTGGAAAGTGTGGCTGGTTATCACGATCACAGCACCAAACAGGTCAGAAAGGATTCCATCTAGGTTTCACTAGAAGCAGGTAATCTCTGCAGGAAGAATGGAGCAACTGTCCTCGGGAGACACTTCAGGGCAGCGCACCCCCGCAGTGGCGGGAGATGAATGGGCGATTTCCCGAGTGCAGAGAAGGCGAGCGCGTTCGGCTGGGGGTGGATAATCCAGGAGCAACAGCCTTCCTAAGAGCCTCCTTATTCGCTGACCCCGGATAGTGAAATAACCTTCACTCTCTCCCGGGGGCACTTTTAAGAGTTTTGAATGATATATTTTCATTCACTGTGGGATTTTGTCCTTTTTTTTTTTTTCCTTTTAGCTGAGGAAAGGTCTACATGGAATTCTGTCTACAGTTTGATAAAAGAAAAGGGGAGCATGCTTGTAACATGACTTAAGCACTTGGTTAAGAGGATTTTTGTCTGTTTGATTTAGTCACTAGGAATGCAAGACTTTGCTCGGGTGTGGTAGACAGTGCCCTCTGGTACTGAAACGTGTTTTCAAACATGTACCGGAAAGGCAAGGGTTCGGGGTTCGTGTCAGCACGGCACCTTAAAGGCATTCACAAGTGGTTTGCACAGTATTTCACCATGTTGTCCATGGATCACTCTGCACGAAGCCCCACAGCCTAAGGACACTTGCAAAAGGCAGCGCGCATGCGCACAAGAAGATGCATTTGGTGTTTGCGTCCCTCTGCAGTGATCGTTCTGTTTCTCCAACTGCTTTCCAGGACAAGGGCTCTTTCTTTGCAGCGTTCCCTCTTGTTCTTTTGAGGAAGTCCGGGGGAAAGGCACTAAGGCTTTCAAACAGGTAGCATCTCCATGCACAGGCGTTAGGCACACAGCTCTGCAGAGTCAGGACAGCAGCTCTGAGTTGCCTCTCTGGTCAAAGCGCTGGATTTTCGTGGTTGGTCCATCCCATGCTGGATGGACAAAACACATTCCCAAGGTAAAGGGGCGTGTCTAACTACAGACTGATTCCAAAAATCAGGAATCGCGCACGTCCTCACCTTAGAGGTGACAAGTACCGTCTTAATGACTCCAGCACTATGGATTTTCTCAAGAAAAACAAAGTCGGTATTAAACAAAACTATGACAACATAAAAAATTCCCAAACTTTTACTATTTTTTTAGATTTATCAAGAGCTCTGTGAAAGCAGTAACTGGCCAAGCTCTCATTCAGTACCTCCTTCTAAAAGCCCGGCACTGTCAGACTATCAGGGGACAGTAACTCTGCTGAACCTATAGCACGGGAGTTCTTCCCAAAGTGTCTATCGCCAAAAAAAAAAAAAAAAAAAAAAGACTTTATAATAAAAACAAAAATCTTGAGTAATGTACATTAAAATCTGATTTGAAACATTTTTAATTTATGTATGTTGTGTGTGTGGATGCTTTAATAATTTGTCAAACGCCAATAGTACAAAGAGTGGAGAATAAAAGCAAAAATCTCCCTGCAACACCCTAATCTTGGGGCTGGAGCTAGATGGCAGGGCGCTTGTCTAAGAAACCCTGGATTCTGTCTTCAGCACCGTGTAGGACAAGGTGCGGTGGTTCACGTCTATACTCCCAGCACACCAGGAGCAACGACAGGAGGACCGGAAGTTAAAGTCTTGGCGACAGAGCATGATCAAGTCCAGCCGGGGCTACATGAGACCCAGCAGCCAATTAAAAACCAAACTAACAACGAAATTTTCCTCTCCCAACAAGCAGACATCAGACCTCCTCCTGGGTAGTCACTGCAGTTATCCTGGAGGTTCTCAATGGGCCTTTTGCTAAGCATCCGCAATCATGTATCCCTCTACCCATGTGTACTCTACACAGTCAGGCGCATTTGCTGGTTTTCAAGGTTAGGGCTGAACCCAGGGCCTTGTGCACTACACAAGCCCTGTGCTGCTGAGCTTTGGTCCAGCCCGGGCTGTTTTCCTTTGCT